GTTTCCCATTGGGAAGGGGCAGGCAGCTGCATGAGCCTGTGAGGGTCGCACGGCACCGCAAGGCACCCGAGACTGGCACCGCCTGCCTGGGTCACTCCAGACCGGAAACCCCGTGGATAGAGTCTCCACACGGGCACTTTCCAACCGTCCGGGCCTCCTCCCAGAGGCCTGCGAGCGAGCCGGCGCCCTCCTCCTGACGCGAGGCAGTCACTCAGCACAGGCCGCTGCCCCTACTCCCACGGCCCGTCCGTCACAGTGCCACCGGTGGCCTTCGGCCTTCCCTGGGCTGCAACCAGGCCGAGGGCGAGGGCCACTCCCTACCCGCCCAGTGCTCGGCTCTTCATCCATTCCTGAGCCGTTCATCCCTCCGCGGAGCTCCCAGCAGCTTCCCGGGAGCCAGGAGGGCCGGAGCCCCAGGAGGGCTGGAGCCACAGGAGGGCTGGAGCCACAGGAGGGCCAGAGCCCCAGGAGGGCCGGAGGGCTCGCCCTTCCCGGCGGCCCCCACGTGGGACCTTAGTTCCAGAGCACTCGGCCTTACTGAGGCCTCTGCCGCATGCCAGTGCACCAGTGGGTGGAGGGATGAAGAAGGGTGAAGGAAGGAGTGATGCCTTGGCTCCCAGGGGGCAGGGGTGGGCCTGTGACAAGCCCGGTTGCAGGTGCCAGGAGACCAGCTGCCCTAGAACGGCCTCCACTCTGACCGGGGGAGATGGGCCAGGCCAAGGTCAAGGGGTGGGGCTGACCCTGGGAGCCCCTGAAGACCCGCCTGCCTGTGCTATCCCTGCCTCACTCCCCCCTGCACCCAGCCAGGAAGGGGCTGCGGCCCTCCCTCCGTGACCGCCCACTCGGAGCCTCTGGGGGGCCTTGGTTCTGGGACAGCAGGGGTCAGAGGGCACAGGGGCCCGGCCACCAGCAGTCTTTGCTCCCACAACCCGCAGAGCTCCCAGGAAGCTCCGGGACCCCACACGCATGCGTTGCTCCCCACAATCGCTCCCCCCCCCTCCCGGCCCCCGGCTTGTCTGCCCCCACGTACGGAATCAGGGCTCCCAGGAAGCTGGGCAGGTGGCCCAGGGTTTGAGAGGGAGGGAGGCTGGCTCTATGCTGACGCTCCCCCCGCCCCCAGCTGCCCGCTGCCCTGGGAGGGGCAGACACATCATCAGGGCCCAGGCAGTCCCTCCACTGCCGCCCCCACGGGCTCCGACTCCATTCGCATCCTATCATTCCTCGGAGAGTGAGGGGCTGCTCAGGGCCGGGACCTGCCCTGTTGGTTGACCGCCCGCTGTAGTCCAGGGTGGGGCCCACAGTTGTCCTCATGAAGGTCTCTGACCTGCCTGGGCTGCAGGGGCTTGGGACCCAAAGCCAGGCAGTGTGTCCCTGCCTCTCGGCTGTGGTTCCTTTATTGGAGGCTCAGGTCGGGGATGCAGGAGGGAGGGGTGGGGGGGCCCCCCTCCCCCCTCCAGGTGGCAAACCTGAGGCCAGAACCAATTGGGTGCCCAGCTTTCTGCAGGGGCCAGAGGCCCCGCCCCTGGGGGACATGGCCTCACCTTAGGGTCACTCAGGAGGCCATTTTCCCCTGCGGGGGAGTGGGGGGGGAGTCCTGGTCTCTGCCCTTTTCTGGTCTCCCCGCCCCACCCACCAGGAGATGACTGGTTGATTAGGCAGCAGAGCCTGTGAGGGAGGGGGTGTCCATGCAGCCCCTGCTCCCCTTTTCTGGTCCCCCCGCCCCACCCGCCAGGAGATGACTGGTTGATTAGGCAGCAGAGCCTGTGAGGGAGGGGGTGTCCGTGCAGTCCCCGCCCCCGCCCCTGTCTGCTCCATCCCCCTCCCTCTCCCCTCCCGGTCCTGCTGGAGCAGAGGCAGCCCAGGGTTTGCTGCATCCCTGTGCTCCCTCCTCTTGCCCCCAGCCCCGCCCCAGAGCCCAGCTCCAGCGGGAAAGCTTACAGGAGGCGGAGGAAGCCCAGACTCGCTGGGACACGCAGGCCCCCAAAGCCAGGAACACCGGGCATCCCCTGTCCTATGTCCCTGGCAGGCAGGCAGCGTGGGGAGCAGGAGGGAGGGGTGTGTTCCCTCCTAGGAGCTCGCTGGGACCAGGGCCTCTGTCCTGCCCTCCCTCCCTGGCAGCCCCAGCATCTGCCCTCTGCGAGCTGGGGCTCCGGGTGGACCACCCCCGTGGTTGGAGCTTGGTGTGGTAACCCCCCTGCATCTGGGGCGGAGGAACCTGAGAGGAGCCCAGGGCAAGCAGACCGTCCAGGGCGGAGCTAGACCTCGTCCTCCTCCCGCCCCAGAGAGAGGAGTTCTGGGGAGGGGGGCTCACCAAGGACAGGGATGGGCAGCGGTCCCTGAGAGCAGCCTGCACCCCTTCGGGTCTGGTACCCCCTCTGAGCCCAGCCGCTCAAGCTCAGCCCCAAAGGGTGGGCTGCGTGGCGGTCTCCACCATCGGTCCTCCTCCAGCCTCACCCAGACCCTGCGAGGGGCACAGGCTGTCTGGCCCATTTCACAGACGGGGAAACCTAGGCTTGGAAAAAAATGTACCGCAGCTCCCGCCAGGGCCCTATCTGCAGGGCCTCCAGCCCTCATTTCCTTTCCAAACTAAGAAGGTTGGCGTGGGGAGGGGCGGGGACCATGGCCGGGAAGAGGGAGGGAAGGGCCTTTGCAAACCGAGGTGTGGATTTGGGCGGGCGGGAGCCCATTGGGGAGTCTCCTGGGGGACCAGCAGCCTGTCTGGTTTCCCAGGCTCTGGCCTTTGGGGACGGGAGGGAAGGGCTCCCACTGGCGGCTTCCGGGACCGGGCGTCCAGAAAGCCACGCGGCTCGCGGCTTTCGTTGTTGCCAGGACCCTGCCCGCAGCCCGAACCGGGAGCGGGAGGC